AGGGTGCTCAGTACCAGTGCTCCCATCCCCTGGGCTCTGCTCAGCTCCTCCAGCCTCAAAAGGGACATCAGGGCAAGCAGGTCCAAGTGCATGACAGCCACACTGGCCCCAGTCAAGAAAGGGAGAGGAGAAGCTGTTTACTGGGAGATGAAGCATTAACATCTCTCCTTCTCAGTAACTTACAGAGTGGCTGGAAACTGCCCCTGGGGAAGCATCCTGGTGTGGTGCTGTCTGCACAGTCCAGAGCCAGAGCCTCCCACCTGGGCTGGTGTCCCCATACTCACTGCAGCATCCCTGTCCTTGCCTGGAAGGCCAGCCCGTCCCCACGGGTGGCTTGCTGCAAAGGGAGGGACATGGGCACTCAGCACTGCCTGCTCGAGAAGGAGGGACCACCAGCACCCACCCACAGGCGTCCTGTGGAGCTGCCAGGGCTTGGTTTGTCCTGGTCAAGTTGGTGAGGTCCCGAGGAAGGCAAGAAAATACCCACCCCTCACCAGCAGCTCAGGCTGGTGGCTAAGTCCTCAGTACCTTGTTAATCTCCTTGTGTCTCTCCTTGCTGACAATCTCTTCTAGTATTTCTCCATCTCCCTTAATAAGCCTGGAAGACAAACACAGGGCCAGGAGCTGTGAGGACCACAGGCAGGCTCTTGCCAGCCAGGCTGTCCCCAGCCACAGAAGGTGGTGACCCCCACCCCCAAAAGCTGCTGCTGTGACCCAGCTCAGCCCCCAGCTCCCTCACAGCAGCACGTGCCCTGGACCAGGGGCTGGGCTGATGCACCTCCAGGCATGGCCAGTGACCACCTACCCCTGATGTTGCATTAAGTGACTTCTTCTTGGCCCTATCAAGCTTAAATAGCACAGCAAGCTCTTCCCTGGCTCCTGTGGGATTCATGTCATCATCCTGCAGCAAGGACAGGTCTGCTGCCCCCTGAGGCATCAGCAACCCCCTGCATGGGCCCTGCCCCAGGCTGTGGGCACTGGTTGCTGCTTGTGGAGCCAGCTGCTTCCATATGGGAGAGAACACTCCTAATAAAAGCATCTCCTGCCACTCCACCATCTGCAGGGGCTTTGCTGTCAACAGCAGCAGCCCCTGCAAAACCTAATTTTTGTTTTTTGCAGACAGTTCAGGTCTGGTCTTGGCTGCCCCAGAAAACTGCAGAGCCATTGAGAAACAGGAGCCAGTTTGGGCCTGAAATTCAGCCAGACCTGGGAGTATCTTGCTGAGCAAATTCCAAGCAGTGTCAGAGGTGGCTCACACCTCCAAACATAAACAGAAATGTAATTGTCTTCATTAGATGCCTTACAGGGGACCCTCCCCACCTCCCTGAGCCCCACAGGCTGCCTTCTATTTTAAGACTGGACTTGTCATACCCAATTCTCTTCAGCATGTTTTCAGCTTGCTGAAAAGATGCATTTTATTAAAAACTGGGTCATTTCTATTTGGCAGCTAAACGACTTATGGGATGAGTGTTGTCTGTAACCCCAGGGACACTACTTCTTCCTCTTCAGGTGCACCTGGGTGCCAACCAGGGCCAGGTGCTTTGGAGCTGAAAGGCAAATGCATGAGGCAGAGGGTGGTGGCAGCCACCCCCCTGGCTCCTGGTTGTAGATTCCCATTGAATAGGAAGCAACTGAATCCTTGACAGCACAAGGAACAACCCTTCTGCCTGGGGCAGCAGGGTGCTCTGGTGTCTGCATCCTACAGCTCCTGGCTGGCATGCAGCTCAGTGCCCCTTGCATGGAGCCCCAGCACAATTCAATTATTTGATGTCAAAACGTGTCACCTTCCAGGTAAGTTCCACCATGGGTATGAGAAGAGTGGAGCTGTGAGGGAGCAGCTCAGGAGGGATGGGGATGGAAAAACCCACCTCCTTTTTCCCCAGGGATCATACCTGGTTCTCCCTGTTTCGGGATCCACGACTCTCCTGATCACGCTCTGCCTCGCGTCCCATTCCTCCTTTGTCATGGGCTTCATGGCCTGGATCCGGGACTTCTGTTCATCTGTTAAAACTGGAGAGGACTAGGGGGGTCAGAGCTGGTGGGGGTGGCCCCTGGCCCAGGGCTGCAGCACCCTGCCCAGAGGAACACACACACCTATCCACGACTCTCCTGATCACGCTCTGCCTCGCGTCCCATTCCTCCTTTGTCATGGGCTTCATGGCCTGGATCCGGGACTTCTGTTCATCTGTTAAAACTGGAGAGGACTAGGGGGGTCAGAGCTGGTGGGGGTGGCCCCTGGCCCAGGGCTGCAGCACCCTGCCCATGTCCTCCCACTTGGCATCTTTGCTCACATCTATAAGCTACATCTAAGTACTTCAGAAATCAATCTCTGAGTGTGGCTCCTTGTGTTTCCTTGGTGTGGCCTGAGGATGGCCAGGGTGGGAAGGAGGGAGGAGAGCCTGGAGCTCCCTGCTGTACCCAGCCCTGCCTCCCTGGGACACCTCCTGGGGTCCCAGCACAGGTGACACGTGTCCCCCCAGCACCGCACCTGTGTGCCCCATCTTCAGCAGGTGGAATTTTATTTCACCAAAGGGTGAGATACTGTGAGGCTTGCTTGCCTAGGAGGGAAACACCACCCCTACCTGGTCCAGAGTCCACCAGTGACTCCTTCTGCCACTGCTCCAGCGAGGGTCCAGGCATCACCTCTTCCTTGGCTTTCTCCTCCTTAGCTCTTTCCTTTAACTTTTTTGATTTCTTCTTTATTCTCTTCTTCTTCTTCTTCTTGTCCTTCTGTTTCACTCGCTTTTTTTTGCTGTGTCGGCTCTTCTTTGTTTTGGAGTCACTGTCACTGGAGTCATCAGAAGAGGAGCTTGAGGAAGAGGAAGATTTACAGGGGACCCTCCCCACCTCCCTGAGCCCCACAGGCTGCCTTCTATTTTAAGACTGGACTTGTCATACCCAATTCTCTTCAGCATGTTTTCAGCTTGCTGAAAAGATGCATTTTATTAAAAACTGGGTCATTTCTATTTGGCAGCTAAACGACTTATGGGATGAGTGTTGTCTGTAACCCCAGGGACACTACTTCTTCCTCTTCAGGTGCACCTGGGTGCCAACCAGGGCCAGGTGCTTTGGAGCTGAAAGGCAAATGCATGAGGCAGAGGGTGGTGGCAGCCACCCCCCTGGCTCCTGGTTGTAGATTCCCATTGAATAGGAAGCAACTGAATCCTTGACAGCACAAGGAACAACCCTTCTGCCTGGGGCAGCAGGGTGCTCTGGTGTCTGCATCCTACAGCTCCTGGCTGGCATGCAGCTCAGTGCCCCTTGCATGGAGCCCCAGCACAATTCAATGATTTGATGTCAAAACATGTCACCTTCCAGGTAAGTTCCACCATGGGTATGAGAAGAGTGGAGCTGTGAGGGAGCAGCTCAGGAGGGATGGGGATGGAAAAACCCACCTCCTTTTTCCCCAGGGATCATACCTGGTTCTCCCTGTTTCGGGATCCACGACTCTCCTGATCACGCTCTGCCTCGCGTCCCCTTCCTCCTTTGTCATGGGCTTCATGGCCTGGATCCGGGACTTCTGTTCATCTGTTAAAACTGGAGAGGACTAGGGGGGTCAGAGCTGGTGGGGGTGGCCCCTGGCCCAGGGCTGCAGCACCCTGCCCAGAGGAACACACACACCTGCCACC